TGTGACGGACTGTTCCCGAGATGGAAATGGGGGCGAAAGGAGACATTTCTATCTTTCACAACGCTTGAAAGCGCTTTCTAACGTGCAACCGCATCTAGATTTTTTTTCTCGGAGGCGGAACAAGACGCACTCTTTAAATTGTATCTACTACTTTCCTTTATAGACCCTTTTCTTGATGACTTTTTGCTCTATGAGGAAAAGTGGTCTCGGTTAAATCCTGTTCCCCCGCTTAGCTGATATGACGTGCTGATAAGAAAGCGCCGCTTTTTTTTTCTTAATTATCTTGTAAAGTTTTTTACAACGTGACATGGGTTTTGCATTGCGATGTTGTTCACGTGATCACATCGTGCCACACCGCAAAGTGCCTTGCTTAATCGTTGTTGTTTTTATGAGTTAATTGCGGTTGCAACGGTCGAACTCACCTGGCTTAACGCCCGGCTCCATGGCGAGGTGATAGTGGCCCCCACGCGGGCCGGGGCTGCCGTCCGCCCCGTCGGGGTGCACCGTGATGTTGTCGCTGACCACGAAGCGGCGCGCCGCCGCCAGCCGCTGGTCGGGCTCCACGCGGCCCACCCGGCACTGCACGTGCTCCGCGGCGATCGCCGTCAGGGCGTCGGCGTGCTGCACGCGGAGCGGCAGCTGCTGCAGCTGGGCGCCCCGGGCCGGCCGACGGCCAGGGCCAGCTGCGCGCGCAACCTGCACCTCCCTGCAAGAGACGGGACAGGGCACCTGGTTTTATGGCCGGCTGACAGAGTAGTGGGAGGGGGGGGGTGTAGAGGGGATGTGTATTGAGAATTGATTTCATCTCAGGCTCCTCTCCTCACCTCTCACCTGCACGCGGTCGGTGCCGACCGCCTGCCGGTCGAGCTCGGTCGGTCGACGAGGCGATTTCTGCAGCTCACCTCTTTGACTCGGCCGACCGAGGGCGCCTGTGGTCTGGACGTAGGCAGACCCGCTCGGCACGGCGGCTCAACGGGACTGCCCACCCTCCAGGCGCTCCAGCCCGACAGTAGCTCGGCCAGCTGCTTGTCGCAAGGGCGGGTGCGTCAGCCCGTGCAGCAGCTGGGGACCGCTC